AGTTGCTTGCAAGCTGACTCAGAAAATCCACTTCTAAACTCATTCACTTGGTGCTGGCAGGCCAAGGTTATTTGCTATGTGAACCTATCTGTGGATTGCATTAGTGCCTGGTGAGCTGAGAGACAGACAGAGGGTGCCCAAGGTGGAAGCCATAGTTTTTTATAAATCTAATTTTGGGAGTGACATCCATCAGTTCTGTTAATCAATAGTGGAGAATCAATTAGTCTACAGACACTCAAAAAAGGAAGGGAATTAAGCAAGAGCACACATATCAGAAGAAATTTATCACTGGGGTGGGTGGGGAGGGGAGGGAGGCATCTTATTTTACTACCATGATAGGCTATAGCTGTTAACAATGAATACGCACATAACATACCATCATTGTGAGGATTACGCAGAACCAGGCCAATAATTGGTTTTTTTGGGTATGAGGGTACCATGAATTAGAGATGACAGGAAGGCAATTTACAAGAATAACTATCATAATAGGTAAGATTCCACAATCTGAGTTTTCAACAACATTCTAAAAATCTCAATATATATGCCATATAGTTTCAGAGTCTCATAAATAGAGTGAAAACTGTGATAAGTGGAATCTGGTTTGGCTGACATATTTCTTCCCACAGATTAATTTTCTCTATACATATTCTTCTGCATAATTACTAATCTTTACTTCTTATCTAAGACTATTCACCTCTCTAGTTTTCTAAATTTTGCCAAAGATACAGTGTTCACTAAATGCCTTCTTTACCTTTGATACTATTTTAGTACTACATAACTGTATGAGGCATAATATTGAACTTTAACAAAAAAGTCACTAAGATTCACTTTGTGAATAAACACAAATTGACTATACTCATAGGTTATGATACAGTAAAAAATCTTAGGTGACTGTAGATTTTATGTGAGGAAGCTGACAGAAAAGTTTTGTGATACTGTAAATATACCTACATACTACATACTTTATATATAATAATATATTTTTCATAACAATATATTCATTTGTATAAACTGAATATGTATAAGTTGAATCCCATACAATGTAACTAATCTGACTAGCCATTTAAAGGGATTATGCGATAGTGATAAAAACAAACAAAAGTACATTTGCAATGTAAGCAAAAGTCTCTGGGACTTTTATTTTTACATTTTGTGTGAAAAATCACATAAAATCTGGGAAAAGATGTTGATGGGGGCACAGCTGATTGATTCCTAATTACACCACTTTACACTTAAATTGAGTGGGTGTCTCAGTCATGTTTGTAAAAAGTCTTGGCTGAGGTGTTAGGCTTCTAGTTTACTTTGACTGTCAGTCTGTGTCACAACCTTCATGGCAATTAAATGTGCTTTGTGTGCTCATTATCATTGTCCCACTGTGCAGCTATTATGAACCGGATGTCCTTAGTTTGAGACTCAACATTCGCATCCCAGGGATCTACGGAAGGTTGCTCTGAAAGAACCTACCTCAGCTCTGTGTTTTCTTGTGCTCCACTTCAACACTGTACACAAAACTCTTCTTGACACAATTATTTATAAGAACACCGCTTTATCCATTTGATTGAGACGAAGTTGAAGTTATGTCTTAAAAATTATAGGTCGAATGAGTGATGAGTGTTTTGTAGGTAGAGCTCTTTAGGTATTGAATATATTAAAAAACAAAAACTAATTATAGACTCCAGGTATGTTTTATCTGATTGAGCCCTTCCTCCCCTCATGGCCATCGGATGATCTTATTCAAGATCCTATTTAGAACAAAAAGCAGGGCAGTTGTGAATTTGTTTTAATCCCTCTGGATGCAAAGTGCGAGGAGAAAATTGAATCAAATCAGAGGTGGTCAAAAGTCCAGCTTTTCCTTCCTGTGATACTCTTTATTCTCCTTCTTACCTTTCATCCCCTCTCACAAAATCCCCAGGATGTGGGGACAGAGAGATGCCATTCCTGGGGTTTGCAGAACTGTTGGAAGAGTTCAACCTGATGCTGTATTCCGTGTATGTCTCCAACATTTCAAAAGCATTTCCCTTAATAAGGATAAGAGGTGACCTTGTATCTAAATAGACACTACTGTATTCAAAGACCGGAGGTAAAAGTTCATATATGCATTTTAAATATCCTGGGGGGCGGATAGGGTGTGGTAGGGTGGGGGAGGGGTATTACACTCTTTGCAGAGTTGGTACTTGAATTAATCAGGCAGAAGAAAATTTCCACTGCGTTACAACGACGGATATTTGACAATTTCATGAGCACCAGTATTTCATTCATGCACAGATACAGAACTGGGTCTTAGTGCAGCCGTACTGAGCTTGCTTCTGACGGCATTAATAGATTCGTTTAGAATATTGTTCCCCAGCGAATCCCAAGCGCAGGTTTCCCCAGCAAGAAACTGACACTCCGCCAGAGTCCCGGATGTGAGACGCACACACGGTGGTGTGAGGCTCTTTTCTCCAAAATATCCTCCCAGCAGCCCCTTCCTGGGGAGGGCTGATTGTGCCAGCATTGACGCTTCTCCCCAATCCTGTGAGCTTCTGTGAGAGGCTCTTCCTAGGCAGAGGTGGCAGTTCAGCATCCTGTCTTTCCTGCAGGAAAAAAAAGAGACTGAATGATGAGTAGCTGTTTACACTAACAGCTGGTCTTCCTAGGGAGTTTTGGGGTGGTGCTAACGAGAGTAGGATGTGATCTGTGGCGTGGGGACTTGTTGGTGGCTGGGGGGAGGGGAGAAGCTACCCATCCTAAGAGTTTAACAGACTGTCACAATATGACCTGAATCTGTCTCACTAAATACACAATGTTGTTTTCTGAACTACATGGCGAAGACTGGCGCAGATTCTCAGTTTAGGTCATGTAGTTTTCCTTATAGGATGTAATGCCTAGCACATCCAAGCTCAACCCAAACCGAATTCACTGTAACCTACATCATTCTGGCTCATAGTGACAACATAGAATCATTCTTTTGATTTTCTGAGGCTATAAATCTTTAAAGGAGTAGGAAATCTCATTTTTTTTCTCCCAGGGAGTCCTTGGTCTTGAACTGCTGATCTTGTGGTTAGTAGGCACAGAATATAGATTAGAAGAAGGGATGAATCCGCACTTACAGCTTCAAATTTAGAAACACGCTTAAAGGTATGCATTGTCTGACATTAAAAAACAAATGAACAAACAAAACATTTTAAACAGTGCTTTAATTTGTAGTCCCCCTGGGAGAATTTCTGTGAAATTTGCCGTCCAGTCTAAATACCAAAATTTCCCCTGCATATGTGAAGGGAGGGCATGCATATGCCAGACTATTTTCTGGAGAATTTCTCACTAGGTGTTTGAAAGTCAAGTTTTTTTACCGAATATTTTGCGTTTGGTAAAAAGAGACTGAATTTTAATTGACTGGTTGCAAATAATAATAATAATAACACAGAAAACATCACACTGTAAATTGGGTCTGGCAGGAGTGTAAAATCCTGCAAAATGAGTGGATACCTTTCATCTGATGAAGTTTTTATTTACCACGTGCATACTTGTATCACCAATCTTCCAGTTTTATCAATGTTCCCTATTCTCTGTTATCTATTAAAGAGAAACTCAGCAGTAATTTCAGGGATGAGAGGGAGGTGCTCCAAGTTCAAGGCTCAGGAAATCTGAACAAAAACACAAACAAAAGGCACAACTGTGTTCCTTAACATTAACCTCAGCAATTATGGAGGCTGGGGAATTCAAGAGGTGACAGTTTGGACCACACTGTCACTCTCCATAACAGAATTTGCCCAGAGCCTGAATAGGAATGGAAACAAAAGCAAGCAAAAGAACACAACCAACAAACAACAAACACTACTGAATGAACTAACAAGATAGCTGCATATGCTTTTAAGAGTTGGGTCCTTGTTTGCTTACTACAGTAGTTTAAAAATAGTTGTCCAGTTAACATATTTTCCACATAATAGAAATGTCAGTGTATGTTGACATAATTGTGTAAATAGCCAGAAGCCTTTTTGTAGTTTTATATGGCTGCTAGATGTGCAGGAAAATGGGGACTCAGCAAAGCCTTTTTCTCTATAATCCGTCCCCACTCCCACCCAGTGAGTGGTCCCTGGGTTTCTCCTGGAGTTGCTAGAAATGCACCCCAGATGAGCTCTGGTGGCCGCTTTTCTTCTGCCTCCCAGACTCACTTTGCATAGGACCAGTGAGGGGCTAGAACCCTGTTGCCAGTCTTCTTTTCCTGAAGTTCAGAATTGGAACGGAGTAGGAGGAGGTATTTCTGAGAGGAAACAGTGGTAGAAGGTACAAAGCACGTGCTTTTGAATAACAAGGCTTTCAGTATGCATCCACGCACCACATATTGATCCTGGTACTCACGTTAGTCACACCATTTCCTTTACCACACACACTTTCCAACCTGAAAGCATGCTGTACAGGGAGAATCCAGGCCAGTAACTCTAACGCCTGGGCAATGGCCGCAGCCTAAAGACAGACAACTGAAACCCCAAAGCCCCCTCCTCAGCCTCCTGAAGTTCTGGACCCTCCTAGCTCATCAGTCCTCAGCCTAGAAACAGGAGGCTACTTCCCTGCACCAGCGCCCGGCAGAACTCCGAAATTCGGTGTCTCCCACAGGCCAGAGGCAGAGGTACCCTGCAGGTCACGCCTCTGTGTCCCGATATTCTTCCAGCAAATACTTGGGTTGCGCAGGAAGCTGGCATGATCTCCATCTATCTCCCACTACGAAGCAGCAAGCCACCTCTGCCCGTGCACGGGGGATCCTGTTAATGGCTTCCAAAGGCTAGAAGCCCTTTGCCAGCTTCGCGCGGGAGGACTGGTGTCCACCGCCCTCGCCAGAGCAGGGCCAGGTAGGTGCAGCACCCTGGCGCGCCTCTGGCCGCCGCACTGAGCATGCGCGGCCCGGCCGCCCCCCCCCCCCCGCCCGCCTTGCGCGCGCCTCTCCTCCTCCCGCCGCGCCTCCCCCTCCCGCTTCGGAGGCACCCGCTGCCGAGCTCCGGCGCGCCGGGCTTCTCACGCGGCCGCGAACCCGAGGAGCGGAGGGAGCGCGGCACCCCACGGAGCACCCGCTTCAACCGCGGGATTGGTCGCAAGTAGGGAGCGTTCGCCACTACCCCGGGACCCTCTGACTGTGCCGGCGCCGCGGTAAGTGGTGGCGCGCCGCCGGGGGCTCGCGCCAGCCGGGGCTAGCGGGTTTGGGTCAAGGACAGGCTGCTCGGAGGTTGCCCGAGGCAGAGAGACTCCCCGGCTCTCCCCGTTGCAGCGGCGGGCAAGGGGCCCGGGGGCCCGGAGAGCTCTGTGCGGGGCACCCCTGCAGGGTCGGGACGGTAGGCGTTGCTGGACTTTAACGGTGGAGGAAGCAGGACCCCGACCACCCGACCCTCCTTTTGCTATGTAGTCGGAAAATAAGTTGCTAAGCTGCAAGGCAGCCAGTAAACCGGGAGCCCAGAGCCCGGGATCCTTTGGGAAACCTCAAATCACCTCCTCCAACTCACGGGGGCTATTCAGCCCTCTGTTTGGTGCGCCCCAGCCCCTGGGGCACGATTCTGGACTGGGGTTTCCGACTGCTGGTGCTACCCGGGGTGCAGGCGTTTCCCACCTCCCAGCTGCAGCCCCGAGGAGGAGAGGCAGATCAACTTGGGCTGAGGTTGGACGGGACTTGGGCTATAGGAGCATGGACTCGGTCGAAGTCGCCGTGCTACCTGCAGACAGTGTTTTATTTTAGTGCGCCCACTCTGGACAGCACTCGGTGCTACGCGCCGGGCATCCAGTGGCGAACCACACTATCCCGGCGGTTCCTGGCCCTTACCTTGCCTCCCACCCCCTACCGCCTCATCAGTTTCTGCCTAGGGAGCTTGCGGAGTGTGTGTGTGGGGGGAGCGATCCTTTTCCATTCCAGCAACTTCAGGTGAGGGGATGATTTCAGTTTCCTTTAAGAAGCACATGCAACCGCCTTGTCTCCCCCCTGGACCCAGACAGCCTGAGCAGATGCCTGCCAGACGCCCCGCAGACACCAACCCGCTAGCTCTCCTAGAGCTGAGGGCTCAATCCCCGTGTGATTCTCTCTTAATGCAGCATGTGTGTACTTATTATTTGAGAAAGGTGTGGAGGTGAGGTAGGAGGACGTGGGTTCCTAAAGCTCTCTAAACCAGTCAGGGAGTCTGATGCATGAAAACATTTTGCAGCACAACAGGGCTGCGTTGAGGAGGCGGCTTCTTGCTACTGGAAGCTAAGGCAGTTAGTTGCATGTCTGGGTCTTTGGATTTGGAGCGAAAAGGCTTGCGGGGGTTGTTCAGGGTGGGTGAGTCAATGTAACTGATCGCCTTGGGTGCTTGCTTTACGTGGAGGGAGAGCATGGTTCCTCTTGGGGCGTGTTGGAGGTTTGAGGGAACCGAGGAACCCCTCTCTGCTCCTGATTTAATTGCTCATGCAACTTTTCTACTTTTCCTGCTGGAATCCACGTAAGGGCAGGGACACATCTGTCCGAATAATAGTCTTTAATTGCCGGGAATTTCCTGTAATGTACAACCGTGATGTTTCCACGAATAACTCCATATAACTGTCTTGTCTAGGCATCTACATGGAATAATTTGGATTCTGCTTGTAATTTTACTTTTTGTGGTTTATACCCTTTAGGGAGTGGGGTGAGTGAAGACAGTGTGGATACTCCTGTAAGCAGCTCCCTGCCTTCATACTTCGGGTCCTGCTGACGCGTATGCTCTCTCCCTAGCCCTGTAGGCAGAGAGAACTGTGTCATGGAAGCAGACTCTGAGGGCTGGTCTGGGTTGCATTCATGAAGAAATTTACATCTCGCTCATAAGTTTACTCATGCTTCTTCATCTTGGTTTCATTCAAGATTGTGTGCAAATCTCCACAGGGCGTTAGGCATGAGATTGCTATGGAGCTAAGCCAAGTTCCAAAGTATTGCTCCCCACCCCCCTTTCCTCTCTGGCCACCTTGTAAACTGCTACCTTTTTTTTTTTTTAAGTGAAATTGGAATCTATAACCCTGAGTTGATGGGAAGGGAGCATGGTGACAAACCTCATTGTTTTTCCAGTTTGAACCCTGCATAGTTATTGGCAAGCTTTGGACAACTGCTCTGGTTAATTAGAGGCTATATAAGAGACTTGATACACCTGCACGTCAAAGTTAGGTGGAAACCTGCAGTAAGATTGCCTTATTTGCAGCTCTGATAAAAACATTGCACAGCTCCTCTGACTCAGGGAACTTGGTCCCCAGAGGCAGTTCAACCTGTCATTCCATAGTCACGTTTTATGGACTGGTGATTAAAGAACAAGGCTTTCAAATGCCTTTTTATGCAGCCACTTTGTATTATTGTTTTTTTCCCTCAGAAGTAGGTCTTCTGATCCACACACACACCCCTTGCTCCCAAGTGCTGAATTTATTGATTAGAATTTCTCTTCTGAAGGATTGATTATACAGGGCATATATTACTCCAATGTAGGCTTTAGAAAGAAAAGCAGCTTTATTAATTAACTCTGCTCAGCTGAAACTCTCTATTTTTATTTTTATTTTGGAAAAGTTTTTGTGGTCATGGTTTTAACTTGTTGGATTTTTCTTTATTATGTTCAGAATTACAGCCTCAGCACCCACTGTGCTTGTTGATTTTTTATCTGGTGAGGTTGATCTTTGTGAAAACGTGTTTCATATAGGTTGGGAACAGGCAGTATATACCCACAAAGAAGCAGAATTTTGAGTTTTTTTGATTTTGGCTTTTACTAAGCTTTCAAGGTTTTGAGGCTGGTGAAAGGGGCAGGATTCATTATCTAGGAACACTGAACTTGATATTTTAAACTTTTAATCATTCGAGTATACTCCTATTAGAACAAAATTCTAACCCTATTTCACATAACTTTAAATACACGTTATAAACATGTTGTAATATTTAATGCATTATGTGTATACATATGCATATATTGATACTATTAAATGTGTGCATTACTTCTATTACAAAGACTATACATAAAGAAGTTAAAGAGTAAATAAGGCAAAAGTATCAACAGAAAATATAATATTGTTATCATGTGGTTGAGTGGTCCATTTTGCACAGCCCCTGGGGTGGGCGCCTTATTTTAGAGATCACTGCTGATAGCAAATTTCCTACCTCTCCTTAACTCTGGCTCTGCTATTTATCATTTCTGAAACTGTAGCTAGTTGAAAACCTGCTAGAAATCTTTGTCTTCTACAAAAGATGGACTAAGAATATTTGCAAGCTAGGACAAAATAATAATTTATAAATTATCAAGGGTTCATGAGGTGGGGGAGTGGGGAGGGGAAAACGAGGAGCTGAAATTAAGGGCTCAAGCAGAAAGTAAATGTTTTGAGAATGATGATGGCAACAAATGTACAAATGTGCTTTACACAATTGATGTATGTATGGATTGTGATAAGAGTTGTATGAGCCTCTAATAAAACGATTAAAAAATAAGAAAAAAGAAGAATATTTGCCTCTGTGTCAGTGCCTGAGAGGCGTCATCCTAGATCTCTCAAAGTGAATATAACAGGGGGGAAAAAGTTTACTTAAAGCCTAACCTTCCAGCTGTCTGACAAGGAGTGAGGAAACCAGTGATTGAACAAACAAGTGAAGGAGAGTACATCCTGCATTGCCATGTTGTATGAGAAAATCATTGGCCCTGGGCAGAATAACCAGGATCTGAATCTGATATTACCCCTTATTACATTCATGATATTGGGCAGTTAGTTTCATCGCTAGTTTCTGCGTGTGTGAAGTGGGATCACATCTATTTAAAGACATCATCTGGTAAGGATTATACAAGAAGATATGCAGGAGCCTAGCTGCTCTAAACTGGATAGTTAACAGATAAACCAAATGAGCCTTAAGGACACTGGCCCCGATATGGAATAGATTTATTGGGGTCTTAAACTGGTTGATCCTGGAAGCACTCTTCCAAGGTATGATTGAAGACTCAGACTTCATACATCTTCTCCGTGTGTTATTTTCACAGGGATTTCATAGCTCATCTGCTCAACTCAGTGGAAGGAGTGAGAACTGGAGGCTGCTAATTGGCCAGACATTCCACTGGCCAGAACTTAGTGGTGTATCTTTTGAAAGGGTAGTTGGGAAAAGCGCTTTAATCTTTGTGTGTAGTAAGAAAAAGAAGCAGTTTGGTGAACTGCTAGCATTCTCTACCATTATAATAAAATGTGTGTTTATTCTTCACTCAAAAAACCAAACTAAACCCATTTGCCCTCAAATAGATCCCACTCAGAGCTACCTATGTGTTGAACTACCAAGATCGGATTGCCAAGATTATGTATCTTTATGGAAGCAGGTGGCCACATAATTCCCCTGAGGACTAGCTGGTGGGTTCTAACCCCTGACCTTTGGTTTGCAGCTGAGTACTTTAACCACTGTGACACCAAAGATCCTGTCTTTTTACTGATCTCATTTTTGCTCTGGCAGAAAAAAACAAACTAGGGAAGTGATAAATAAAAATCACAGCAAATAATACACACGTAGGATTTTCTAAATACTTGTTCAAGCATTTTGTTTTCCTTTATTTTAAGTGTTATTATCTTTGCCCAATATAGCTAATAGCAAAGCTGGGATTTGGATCAGGATCTCTAACTTACAAAATCAATTTTCCTAATAGGTACATAATACTATATTTTTGTTTCTACCTTGGATTTAAAAATTTTAAAATACCCTAGAACAACTTCTAATCCAGTATGAGTTATTAGCCCCCAAAAAAGTGGAAATAATTCACCTTTGGAATGAGGGAATTCTAATTGTCCTATTCTGTTTGATTTGATTTGTTTGTTTAATTCATCCAGGGATGTGTTATTTTGGTTTTGGATTTAACAATAATTCCAGTCTCTTGGAATAAATCTCAGTTACATGCAAGAAACTTTTAAATTGGTAGGCCCATACCCATCCATCTGAAGTCTCTGTGTGGTGCAAATCAGTTACATGTTCACTGTGAACCAGATGGTTGAAGGAGAGTTGGAAACCATCCAGAAGTACTTTAGAAGAAAGGCCTGACAATCTACTTCTGAAACAAAAAAACCCTCTATGAAACACACTTCTAATCTGACACACACGACACTGTCTTGTGTGTGTGTGTGTGTGTGTGAGAATTTAGGCATCTAAATCAGAAAGCCAA